TAGTTTTATTTCAGGCTCTACGAAAAGTATTTATTTTGTTTTTCTTGTTAAATTGTTTGTTACAAAAGGTACTAATACTAATTTCGGCATATCAGATAAAAGTGGCGTTTTGCATTGAGTACTTCTGCGTCTGCTTATGACCCCAGGCTGGGCCACAGTCCCTTTAAGAGGTCGCTTGGCCCCGGTCTGGGCCTTTCAACAACTTTGACCCGTTACTCATATAATTTTGACGCACACTTTCAAAATACTATTTTGTCTTGCAAGGGATTGAAACTTTAAATTATCCGGACGTGAAAAAAAAAACACCTTTCTTAGTACAGTTTGCTCTCTTTGTGCTCATTCTAATCATGCTTGCCTTTAATCTTTGTGTTTCTTCTAATTTAAATACATTTATCAATGGACAGGACAGCTTGGGTTATAATCCTTGAGGTTCACTGTACTTTAGTTTATTTACTTCACACAAATCTCAATTCACTAGTTTAAAAAAAAAATACCTCTCTCTCTCTCTCTCTCTCTCTCTCTCTCTCTCTCTCTCTCTCTCTCTCTCTCTCTCTCTCTCTCTCTCTCTCTCTCTCTCTCTCTATGCGAACGTGTGCATGTTAAAATGTCCAAGTGAGAAAATATTTTTTGGACCATTTTCAAAATGCGAATAATAATGGTACAGTAAAGTATTTGATGTGGCAAGAAAAGTTACGGTACACAATACAGGATTGTAAGTTCATACTCCAGTCCGTTTGTACTGCAAAGGTAAAAATATAAGAGCTTAGGCAAAAGCAATGCGTAAGTCGTTAGAAGTAATTTTATTGGCTACACTTTTTTCTACCACCTTAGCTTTGAACTTGCTTCAGTTGCGCTTCGCACAGTGACAAGATCAGAAGTGCTATTCTGCCCCTGACTACTACACTATCTACTTTGAATTTAGAACCAAACAAATGCGTCACTCATTGTAAGTGACTTCATTGGCTAACCGATATTTTCCACCGCCTTAGCTTCAAATCGGTTTCAGTTGTTATGCGCACAGCGAGAAGATCAGACGTGTTTTTCTGTACCTGTCCACTAGTCACTTTACAAATAATAAAACTAATGCACAAACAATCGCACCATGGGTGACTCGTGGAAAGTAGTCTTATTGCGAAATAAAATAAAGCACAGCATGTTTGGATGTACTACTCTGTGAGAACTTTACATAGACGTTTTTGACAGAACAATTTTAGTAGACTGTCTCCAATTCACTCTTGTGATATTTTACAATAGTGGGTTTTGTCCTATAGGAGTAATAATTTCAAGGAGATGTGTGTTTTTGAAATTTCGTAAGGAAACGTTATACAAACGTAAAAGTCGTGATATTTATAAAAGTAGGAACTCTCTCTCTCTCTCTCTCTCTCTCTCTCTCTCTCTCTCTCTCTCTCTCTCTCTCTCTCTCTCTCTCTCTCTCTCTCTCTCTCTCTCTCGTAATTTTGATTGAAATCAAATTACATCTGTTTCGTTTGAAGATACCTCTCCAAAGTTGTGATCAGTAGTCACCATAATTACGTGAATTGTTCCGTTTTCTCATGTAATTTTATTTTCGAAAACTGAACACCCTAAAATTTTAGAACGAATTTTTTTCTTCCATCAGTAAATCGATGGATGAAATAAAATCATGAGTTGATCTTTGCTTGTACAATTCATTATCCTATTTTGGCACTGCATTGTGTCACGGAAAAACAAATTTCTAACATTAGATCTACCGGTTTATTTTTCTTCAGAAAGGCAACAAACATGGCTTTTTCAGGAATTACCCGAGTGACATTGCACTGTATAACCCAAGCTATGGCTAACTATGAATTCTAAAACCAAAACATGCGTTCAAAAAATATGTAACAATGTTTGTGCTATCTTTTCTCAGTTTAGACTGTCGATGAAACAAGGCGCGTTTTGGTGCTGCTTTTTTTTTCTCCGACCTTACATTTGTGAAAACTTTGCAACATTGTTGGTAGCCTGCGCAGCGAAACACGGGACTTTTTTTCTCCGACCTTACATTTGTGAAAACTTTGCAACATTGTTGGTAGCCTGCGCAGCGAAACACAGGACATCTCTTAAATCTAGGATACACAGCAAAATGTTAAGCAGTCAATCGACAATAACTACTACACAACCATTTTTTATATAAAATTGATGAATGAATGAAAATAATGAAAATTTCTTACATAGAATATGCGGATGTCTTCATTACCTTTGTCCTATAATACCGCAAGAAAATAACAGACCCAAAAATGGTGTCCTACTTTTTGGGGTGATTTTAAAACCATTCTTTCTTTCAGTAATGGTAATTCTGTCTGCCCATCTCTCAAAATACTCCAGACTAAAGTACCGCCCGTTCTACTCTCATCCAGTGCGTTATTACTTGTGTGCGTGCTTTCGCATATCGTGCGTCCCTAAAATGATTGTCACATTAGAGATGCAAAAACACTTCCAAATTATTGAGAACGAATACTTACACTTACACCTTGAGATGTTAAGAGTTTAACTAGGGTGTAAAACTTAATCAAAGTTTGTAATCAAAATGAAACGATGATACATTTCCAAGGAGCAAAGAGAATGTCATTTGTCAGTGACATCTTGTCTCTTAACATCTTAACACTGACAAATGATATTCTCTTTGCTCCTTGGAATATATATATGCGAATAGCCGCTTTATAGAGAACCCGTTATATGTAAACAGTAGCTGATCCCAGCCTGACTTCGAAAGATTTAAAAGAAGCATTTATTATTCTACAGTAGGACAAGGGCAAGTATTATAAAATACCAACCATATTTACGTGTTCATCAAGAATTGCATTTATTATGACATTATAAAGCCATGTGGATAACATACCACTTTGACGTGTAAAACAGGACATTCTTTAAGATAGAATAAATATATAATACATAATGATTATGATATGAAAATCACTTTCCAAATTCTGGTGTTTATACTAGTCCGATGAAATTTGTTAAATAAATCATCATGGCATACGTTATCCAAAGCAATCTCTGTGTCAAGAAAAGCTGCAAACTACATGCCTTGGTTTTCTTTAGCATAGTAAGGTATTTTGTTGTACTGGATAGATCAACCCAGACCCTTCCGAAAGTCGCCCAAGAGGACTAATTGAAAATTCAAAATACTGAAGATCACTGTGCATCCTATTTAATAAAATATTTTCAAAATATTTACCAATAACTGGATGAAGTTTTATTAACCGGTATTTATTAGGATCGATTTTGTTTTAATACCTCCCTTAAAGAGTGTTACTATCAGACCTTTTTTTAATTGTACAAAAACACGCACAAATATAAAAAAGAGTTTTTTAAAGTAGCCAAGAAAGAACGAGGTGTATTTTCACCGTCTTTAATATGTTCATAATTTATATTACCTACTCCGCTTGCTTTTCCAATATCACATCAGAAAGTGCAGACGAAAACTCCTCTTGTGTGTTCAAATCAGACGTGTCACTACAGGTGGATTCTTTACATGTTTCCACGATTTCACTAACATCCTTAAAGTAATAACTATTCTTTAACTTCGGTGTGTTTCAAATTATAATGCCCTCTGATTAAAATATCTCCGACGCCCGTGATAACAATATGGCAAAATTTTATTTCTAACCGTTCAGGAGATCTCTGTTTTTTTAGCTCTTCAAGACTGGTTTTGTTATATTTATGCAAACTTATCAGCTGCATCATTTAGTTTTGCTAATAATAACCTGACGCATTTCTGTGGAGTTTTCGAAAGATTATATTCGCATATTTGTAACTAGCGAGAACATCTTTCAAATATAAACTGTTACATTGTGACCTCACTAATGCTTTTCTAAGCATGATTTTATGTAATCCCATCAAATCATTTTTCCAGAACGAGTTAAAAAGAGTTTGAACTAGTTGCTATTGAGCAAATTTATTTGTTTCTTGTTTATTGGAATAGAAGTCTGATAACACACTAAATAAGTGGCTTACTTATTGGATATATTGACATCTTTTGCTGAGACGCCTCTATTCCAACTGTGCTTTAAACGATAGAGGTTTGCATCACACACGTTTTTAGATAAAACAATCCAAATATAGTTCTGATTTGAAACAAATAAAGCATAAATTATCATTGCCTATTTGACCATATCGATGTTTGAAGCGTCAGGAATGACGTGATTTATCAGATCCTTACTTGCAAAAAATTAAGAAATATATAAGCAGCAGGAAACTTTGCAAATTTCAACATACCTCAAAAAAAAAAATAAACAATTGTGTACTGAAAGGGAATGCAAAATTTTATTTCTTGTGTCCATTGTGTGTAAGAAGATTAATTTTAATTAAGATCTCCCATAAGAATAGCAATGTCATACTATGAATTCATACTTAAAAGACCGCGTAATTTTCTATATAATCACAATGAGTTTCATTGGTATAACGATGACATTGTATGCAGATGTGAATGGAAAATATTACAAGTCAATCTTAATCTGAAACCAATTATATGATCATTATCAGTTTTTGAAAGATAAAAACTATTATTGAATTTAATATACCGCAAGATAACCACAGTGCCATTTTCATTGATTATGCGCAATGGCCAAACCGAATTCTGAACATCAAACCAATAGTCAGCATAAACAGTCGAAAAATCTTCCTAAAATTACCACTCTTCAGGATTGCCCCATACCCTTATTTGTGTGTGTGTGTGTGTGTGTGTGTGTGATTGTGTGTGTGTGTGTGTGTGTGTGTGTGTGTGTGTGTGTGTGTGTGTGTGTGTGTGTGTTGGATCTTTAACGTAGCTTTAAGAATTTTGCAGTCATACCGCTGTAATATCTGCAGTGTGGCAGTTTATAGCGATGTCTAGCACTGGTGCATCATGCCGCAGACATTTTGCATGATGTCACACCCAGTCTCATTATCCTGACACCACGCCGACCAGTCCTAACACTAACTTCTTTATGCTGAGCGCCTAGCGAGGCAACTGTTAATACAATTTTCATAAGTATTTGGTATGATTCAGTAGGGACTGGAACCCACGACCTCCTGCATCTGAGGCAGACGCTCTAACCACTAGGCCATTGAAGCGGTCAGTATTTTGTTCTGATAGTACCTGACTAAGATGAAAGAACTTTAAAATAATGTCTGTGGCATTCCAAGAAAGTATACTTAGATTAAACCACAACCATACATAGTTATGCTGGAAAAGAGGACAAAAACAATTTAGTAGATAACAAGCGTCATCGTTTATCCAATTCGCTAAAAATCATCACTATTCACTTCATTTTTTGTTACCCAGCGACTGCTACAAACCACTTTAGACTAAAATTATTTTATTGTAGAACTTTTTATATTTGACATTTATTCTATTGATTATTTGCTTGTTTTATGCAATTGTGCTCAAATCCCCGTTTTTTAGGATGTTTGTAATAAAGTCTATATCTATTGATGAATCAATGTTGCCTAAGAAGAATTTTTTGTTTGAAGTTTGATGACACCAGTCTATCATTATCATCACTTAGTAAATTCAGTTTCAATATCATTACAATGCGTACCACTGTCATCAATCCGGGTTCTTTTCGACCTTGTGATTTACATAATTTGTGTTTCTGACAGAAATATGTTGCTACTTATACTATAAATGAATAATTGACAGTATTCCTTGATACGGTGCTTTGGTATCTGCCTTCCTCAGAAACGTTTTCTATAGAATGTTTATTTTCTCCATTGAGGTACTGATCATTGACAGTTCGTCTTTGAGAATGTCGTAGCTATACTATATATTGTTTTCAATCGAATCATTCTTAATTGCAGTAGTAACTGAACTTCGTGACCCTTGTGATATTTGATATTTTAGTCGACGTCACACTACCACTGCCATACGTTGTGCCACTGGTATTTTTTAGAAACCGTAGACATCGCACCAGAGGTAATGAGCTGCTCTGTACCAGTAATAATTTAGAAACCGTAGACATTGTTCCAGAGGTAATGAGCTGAATCAAGATGTTGCCAGAACGAAATTAGGCGGTTTGGTTTTTGTGGCCATGTTGATGGTCATTGGCGTCACCGGTAATGTTCACGTGATATTTGTATAAGCCTTTAAAATCGAGACAAGTAATATCCATGTTTTGTGGACGTCGAAATATAAGCCAACTTCATCTGCGTACATTATGCCTCGGTCTTCAGCATCAGTGATAGTTTACATAACCACTGAAATGTACAGGAAACTATGTGTTTCTCAAGGCAGACAACTGACATTGCGGATGACAACAAGTTCTTGCTGAGCAAGCATGATTGTTTTCTTAGTATCTGCCTTATAGAATCACTTGATTTGTACCTACACAATACAGTCGAGACGGTGAATAAATGTATCACTGGAGTTATAGCGACGGTAATATATATATATATATATATATATATATATATATATATATATATATATATATATATATATATATATATATATATATATATATATATATATATATATATATATATATAATGACCTCCATCAAAAGTATTTCATTTTTTCTGATTACCTTTATAATTGCTGCATCGAGTATGGTGTATGTACTCATGGACTGAACAGTAAACGCAACACCACCCATTTCATTATATTATATAGAAAAAGTAACACTATCTTCAATTTCTTCCCCAGAAAAAGTAACGAGAAGAAGGTTATGATAGGAATCGTCTAAAAACAACAACGCCAGAATTACTTATCATAATATAGTGGCGGAGAATCCAAATCAAATGTTTTCTATCATAATAGTTTCTCATTTGTTTGCCTTTTAGCAGAATAATAAAACGGTTATTCGTACTCGTTTGGACAAATAAGCGGGTAATTCCGCTCAACTTTGACTTTAACAAGAGTAAACTAACTACTTTTAATGTTCTAATCATACGTTGTGACTTCCAACTAAGCCATTTGGAATTTTAACATAATAACCCTAAAGTACATTGGCAAAACAAGAGATGAAAACCTCGACGTTTAAACGTAATGCGTCCAAATCGTTTGTTTTGGTACTGGCAGTTCCTTGATCATGCTTTCAAGGATGACATAGTTTTTATTTTTCTTCTAGTCATTCGACGTGGTTATGTATTTCCTGGGACAGAAACTATCCCCAATTCTGGTGTTTTTTGTGTTTTGTTGTTTATTTGTTTTTTGTGTTTATTTACTTTCTAATTTTTTTTTGTTTCTATCATTGATCCACATGTTATCGCCTTTAAAACTGACAAATTATTTTGACAGTTTTACATGAAACATAGGAAATATGTCAGACATTTTAAGTGTAATGTGCAGTTTGAAACAAAATAAAATGTTCATCAACTAGAAATTCCCGAGTGACTGAATAGCTATCCTGCCAAACAATCGTGGCATTGCCTATGTGCATACATATTTACTTTATGGCGAAATTTGAAACTTCATCTTATGGATCCGTTAGAAGCAAATATTTGCATTATTTTCTGATTTACCAGAGAACTACAAGGAGTTGCCGTTGATTGCATAGTACATGAGATACCCTTTATGTCATTATTTTCTGTTTTCCTTAACAATGACAGTGTTCCTTGATTTAACTTTAGTTTGTTTCTTGTTGAAAGTATTTTACTGTTGCAAGTTTTACCTGACACTTTGTAGTAAGTGAAATGTATTATTTTCCATTGCAGTCAGCTTGTTCTATTCCTTCTGAATTGAATCTATACAAACATATTAAGAACATAACGGTAGTTGCAAGTTTTTCTCATAAAAAAACTCTGAAAATTAGATCAAGGACGCTCTGTTTGCCAGTCCAAGTTAAAACCTATTTTCTAATATTTTTACAGATTTTGAAGCCAGTCGTGTTTCAAAAGAGCAAATATACGGGATTCAATGTGTATTAGCAGCACCTGATACGTGGCTGACTACTTCCAGTGCCTGGAAAAATATATGGTTTATCCCACGCAATGGCGTTACATAATAAGACAGGGATTGTGTATTTAATACAATGTTTTATTGATCGTTATAACCATACAATGTGATGCAATAAAAGTTTGTAGAAGACAAACTACAAAGACAGCTCTCCTATATCATATTTTACATATTCATTAAAACAATATTATTATAATATATCAAAAGGAGTAAACATAACACTGCATCCAATGCAAACAAAGTTTCTTGATCACATAATTAAAATGCCCAGGATTAGATGCAACTTGAATCACTATCAATACTAAGACGTACATCATCACATGCTCTCATCATCCTTTGCAAATAGCTTTTCTATGTTTTGGGAAATCCTCATTGCGAATGGAATGGAGGTAAAGTAACACTTGACTGGCATTTAGAAAATATAGTCTATTTCAAATTAGACAATATAATCTATTTTAATTTAGGTAATATAGTCTATTTCAAATTAGACAGTATAGTATATTTTTTTAAATTAGACAATATATTCTATTTCAAATTAGATTTTTAAATTTATTACTATAGAAGATTATAGAGAATGCTTACTGGATATTGAAATATCTTTACATCGATTAAATTAAAGTTTATAATTAATTGTAACAGAGATGTACTTTATTACCTTATAATACAGCCTAGGATGCATACATATTGTGTCATTAAGGCCTTTGTTTTTCGGGAAAGTTACTTTTAAAGACATAATAATGGATGCTCAAAAAGGCTGCTGGGAGATTGTTGTGGACATTCATAACATTTTATGATGGCCCCATAAGTAGATACAGCAAACTTAATTAACTATCCCTGATCCATATCATATTTTTTATCTGCTAATCATTGTGTAGGGATCACCAAATTGAAACATCTAGGTAGGGCCTTGAAAATGACACATTAACAGTATTGAAATTCTTTGCGCCAAATTCTTCATCCCATCATACTGTTACTAATATACTGTTTATCGATATCCAGAGCTAATTATTTTATAAAGTTAATGTCAGTGTAGAATTTGATCAGAATACAAACAACACAATAGTAAACCATATTTAGAATCCCATTTGTCAGCGACTGAAAGCTCTTTAAGTAAGTGCCGTTATTGTTAGGGCTTTGATCCGATATAATCTTGTGTGACAACTATATAATTTATTGTTTGTTGTTAATAACTCCGCTCTGATGCTGCGTTGTACGGATTTATCGTCTGATGATTAAACGGACATTGTTGCCATCTGTAGAATAATATAATCAAAAACCCATTAAGCTGAGACATTATAGCAGTTAGTGTTAGAATTCTAACTAATTGAAAATGCATTAGTAAAAGATATAATTAAAATTTCACTTTCGAAGAAGGAAACTGTGCTTTTTAAAATTAATCTGGAGGTACAGGTCCTAACGCCATTGAGAAAATTTCTTTAGTTTGTTTACTTTCTATTTCTAAAAGCTTTAATTAGGCTGGAAAGACCTTGCAATAAAAAAGCAAACAAACTATAATATACAATTTGCTTTGGAGTATAATTAGGACAAGGGCGAATGGAATGAGGAGTCCTCTGCCCTCTTCAAAGGTTGAAAATGGATCAATAACTTGAGACATATATCAGTATTCTGTGTAAAACGATATATCTAAATATATGAAGACTATTCTGTGCATATTCTATGACATCATATATTTAAGTCTACACTAATCTTGCACGTAATATGCACATATCGTACTTGAGAGCATAAGGCTAATTAAAACCTGTTGACTTATATTATGTGATGTGTTTGTTTACTTTCCTCATATATTTGAGAATTTGTACAAGAAGATTCCTTCAGAGATAATAAATTAGGGTACAATAGACTCATTGGTCAAAATTTGCACTATCAAGGAAAAATACAACAGCATGATTTAGTGTCCCGTTTGGTAAGTAAAACTTTGAAATGTTTTTGTACAATTGTCGAAAACATTTAATAAGATCAAGATAGTGGAAGCAGTATTGTTATTATAGATTTCTTTCTTTATCCTATAACTTTACATTGTCCGTGTTGTGCAGTATTTTACGTTACCCAGCATCTTGACATTTCACGACACGTGTGCCAAAACAAGTCCAGACCATTAGAAACAACTTTGCCAACAAAACATGTGCAATTTAGGTTTTAATTTATTATATTTTTGTGG